GTAGCATGGTATACAATAAGCCATCTTACAGAAATATCATCTCAACAATGCAAAAAGTGTAATTCAATTATTCATTCAAGCATTTTTTGAATGTCTATTGTCTGTCCTTTAAATCCCTTAAAGCAGAGATTCTGAAACTTTCTAGATTCATGGCATTTTTAGTGTCTCAGTAATTGTTTCATGACATTCTTGGACCAAAACAAACACCTGAACATTTGTTTATTCAGTAGTTAAGTCAAAACAAACTAATAAGTATTAAGGTCTAACAAATTAGTTGTCATTTGAAAAAATAATATATATAATAAATTGAAAAAAAAGACTTTGATTTCATTTTCAAATAACCACAAGTAGTAAAGAGATGTAAGATGGGCATTGCACAACTCATCAAACCTTGGAACTGGGTTGGACTGAACAGGGCCAGCCTAATTCCATGTTACACATTGATTTTTGGCTGTATTTGCTTTTTATGACAGCACCATTGAAAACTCTGTTTCCCAAAGATATGGCATCATTGAAAAGAATGTATCACAAACTAATATTGAAACTCAACTACCTTGAGCAAGTAGTTTACTAGTGGTGACCAATAGATATTACTGGATTTACTTTGAAATTTTAAATATCCCATAGAGATCCTGGAAATTCACTGAGATATACCATAAGGCACCTCAGTGCATAGTTTGGGAACTCAAGTTTTAGATCATTCTTTACTTTCTCTGGTTCTTATAGTATTTTGCCTTATGAAATAGATAGCTGTCTTTCATATCTTTTATCATCTTGGTGTCTAATAGTATTCTCTGTACATAATATTGTATTGACATTGAATTGAAGAGATAAGCCTATGTGTTTTAGACATATTTGTAAACAGTTGTAATCAGTTATTGCCTGTGTTCATAAAGTTCATAAGTAAATCAAGCTAAAGACTTAAATGTTCTAGAGGGCATTTTTTATTCCTAATGTTAAATTATTAGTAGTAAATAGAGATTGCCGTTGGATATGAAAATGTTATAACTCAATCTTACAGTCTATATGTTTAAATATGTTACTTATATATTTTTTATAATATTAAATGATTCCACTAAGCCTGGTAATTGCTTTAAAGGAAAAGATGGAAGTGACAGAGACATTCAAACAAAAGAATTTGCAGTTGGTGGAAGAAGGATTTAGTCCACTGAAAATAGCTGATCCACTTTACTTCATGGATAACTTGAAAAAATTTTATGTGCCATTGTCCAAAGAACTTTATGATCAAATAATGTCGGTGAGATCAAACTTTAAGATATTTTATATATGGGATCATCATAGGCTTTCTTAAAAGAAGTAAGAGAGTATGTGGTTCTTTAATATGAAATGGGGGAAAGGAACTAATACTAATTAAGCATGTTTTTTAGTTTCTTTAATATACAACACCTTTTATTTAATTAAGAACTTTAATTTGTTTTAATTGATATCAAACTTTAGTTGATCATTGTTTTTACCTTGTTAGAGATTCAATACATAACTAAATATTTTCCTTAATCATAAAATTTTTATAAATAATAAATAATAGTTTACTTACTAAAACTGTACTTTTTAGTATTGAAAGTTTCTAGTTTTGAATAAATTGTTAAATTTTACTCAAATATTTGATTTTTATATTTACTGTCCTGTAATTCAATAAAATCATCTTTATTAATATATTTTGAGGTTTTCTTCTGATGTATGTAATAGTAAATTTCCAATGAAAGGAAACTGTCTCAATGCACTCCTGTCTCTCTTATCTTAAACTCACATTAAAATGATAGAAGAAATATAAAAATATGAAACAACAAAGCCAGAAAACTGGTAAACCCAAAGTATTTAGAAATTTTTTGAAGATACATAAATGGGATCAAATTCATGACAAAATTCAATCGAGCAATAGAAACCACTAATAATACAGGGAAAGAATAGACAAGATTATAACTCTAGTTTTATTTGTGAATAGTTAACTGGGGAATGTATTACAAAGAGAGCATAATAAACACAATTTTACTTATGTCAGTCTGGAAGCACCAAGCTCATGTTTACTTCAAGCTGGAGCCACATGAATGACTTTTTTAACAGCTATCTTCCATAGGAGGGGGTTATTTATTATTTATTCATTGACAAGTATGTATCACACATCTGAGAAGTATATGCAAAGACACTAGTATAGGAATGAATTTGGCATTTTGGGTGAACAGAAAGGAGGCTCTTACTCCAAAGTAGCGGAAGTATAATAAATGCAGAGAAAACTCTGAATAGAAGAAGATGAACCTGTAGGCAAAATATTTGTATTTTATTTCAAATCCAATAAGAATCAATGGAAATCATGACAGAAACACTATTAAAAAGATTGTACCAACTATTATGTAGAAATTAGATTTGGAAATGAAGCAAAAGTGAAAATGAGAAGCCAATTAGAACTACTTGTTTGGGTGAGTTTTATGTGTCAATTTGGATAGGCTATGGTGTGCAGTTGTTTGGGTGAACATTATTCTAGATGTTGCTGTGAATGTATTTCATGGATGTGATTAAATTTACAATCAGTTGACATTAAGAGATTACTCACCATAATGTGGGTGGGCCTCATCCAATCAGGTGAAGGCCTTAAGAGCAAAACAGGTTTCCTAGAGAAAGAATGCCACCTCAAGACCATAATGCAGAAATCCTGCCTAAGTTTCCAGGCTGCCAGCTTGCCCTAGAGATTTTTTTTTTTAACACTTTAACACTAAGACATATATATATTTACACGGTGTGTTCACCTCCCATAGCTAGATTTCTTTCGGTTTTTTTCTTTTTTTACTTTTTTTTTAATTAAGTTTATTGGGGTAACATTGATTAATACAATTATATAATTGTCAGGTGTACATTATAATTTGACATCTATATATTCTATTGTGTGATTACCACCCAAAGTCCAGTTTCCTTTAGCTACCATATATTTGATCCCCTTTATCCACTTCATTCTCCCTCTCTCCCCTATATTAGACCCCCTTTTCTGGTAAACACTAGTCTATTATCTATGTCCATGAGTCTATTTCTTTGTCCTGTTCACTTGTTGCTTTTACATTAATATCCCGTATGTAAGTGATATCATGTGATTTTCAACTTTTTCTCTCTGCCTTATTTCACTTAGCATGATTATCCCGAGGTCCATCCATGTTGTCACAAATGGCAGTATTTCATCTCTTCTATGGCTGAGTAATATTCCATTGTATATATGTACCACAGCTTCTTTAGCCATTTATCTATCATAGGGCACTTCGGTTGCTTCCATGTCCTGGCCACTGTGAATAATGCTGCTATGAACATCAGTGTGCAAATATCTTTTTGGATATGGGTTTTCAAGTCTTTGGGGTAAATATCAGTAGAGGAATTGCCAGATCATATAGTAGATCAATTCCTAGTTTTTTTGAGGAAACTTCCATAGTAGCTGTACCAATTTGCAGTCCCACCAGCAGTGTATGAGGGCTCCTTTTTCTCTGCATCCTCTCCAACATTTGTTAGTACTTTTCCTGTTGATTATAGCTATTCTAACAGGTTGCCCTAAAGATTTTTGACTTGTCAGCCCTTACAGTCATCTGAGCCAAATTACTTTAACTCTGGATAGATAGATATAGATGATAGGTAGATAGATAGATAGATAGATAGATAGATAGATAGATAGATAGATAATCAATAAATATAGATAATGGATATACATAGATAAGATATATTGAGTGTATAGATATATATAGATAGATATAGATATATATATATATATATACACACACACACACATATAAACACACACGCATATAGTTATAGCCAGGTAGAGTGGGAAACAGGAGTGATTAGCGAAGTAGGAGGTAAGTGAATGCTATAGTGTCACAGACCTATCAAGGGAATAGTCAAGAGTATAGAATGATACTTGTTGCTCTAGAAAGATAAAGCTAGAAAGAAAAGTGTTACGCATGTTTATCAAAATTGCTGTCATTAAAGACATAAGCCAAAAGTAATTTTTGACTGTGGGGGAGGCAGCAAAACAGATTCAGAGAGGTTGAAGGGCGAATAGTAGATGAGGAAGTGGAGATAATTCTTTTATGAAATTTTGCATTAAACAAGGACAGAGAAATAAAGACTTTTGAGGGATATGTAGTCAAGAGAGAATTTAAATATTTATATTTTGTTTTAACTAGACCATCCTAATTTAAATAAAACAATACATCAATAAAATAAGACGAAAATACACATTGATAAGTCTTGGTTCCATAGTAACTTCATCTCCCACCCTTGATAAACACTTTTTATTTTATTCATTTCTTGTGAAAACTTTCAGTGTTTCTTTATGAAGATATAGTGAATATGAATACATAGTCTTATTTCTGTGTCCACTTAAAGCATATAAAATACTATTCTGTACCTGAAGTTTTCCATTTAATAATGTACATGGGAGACCTTCCCAAATTAGTATACAGAGAGCTTTTCCATTTTTGTAGTAGTTTTTCATGCATATATCACATTTTATTTAAGCAGACCCCGATTAATGCACTCTTGGATAGTTTTCCGTATTGTGCTACAACAGACAATGCACAAATTAGTGAACTTGTATATATTTCTTCTTGTGAACATCTAGGTGCATCTGTTGAATAAATTCCCATAAATGAGATTGCTGGATCATGTTTTTATACTATAGGTAGATATTGCTAAACGGAATTTAGTAGGGTTACATAATTTTACATTTCCATCAGCAATACATCAGGGCCTTTTTTTTTATTCTCTTACCAACTGTTGTGAAACTTTTAAATTTTGCCAATCTGATAAGTGAAAAATAGACGCTAAGTATACTTTCAGTGTGTGTTTCTCTTTGTGAATAAAGTTGGACATTTTTATATACATGAAGAATTATGTTCTCTGAATTATTTGTGCTCATTACCTTTGTCCATTTTTTTTTTACCATCTTACTTATCTTTTCTGAGAACTTTATTTAAGAAATTATCCCTTGTCTGTGTTGTGAGTTGCAGCTATTCCCCTAAGTTTTCATTTGCCATTTGATTTTTGGTGTTTTTTTTCCAAGCAGAATTTTTTCTTCTGTTCTCTTTTCTTTCTCCCCACTCCCTCTCCCCCTGCTCCTTCTTTTTCTCCTTCTCTTCTCTTCTTTTCTCCTTTTCTTCTTCTCTCCTTCTCTCTCCCCCTCCCTCTCTCCATCTCCTTTCATTGTCTCTTCACTCTTTCTTCCTTCCTTTCTTGCTTTTCTTTCCTTTCCTTCCTTACTCTTCCTTCCCTCCCTTTCTTCTTCCCTCCCTCCCTTACTTCCTTTTATGTAGTCAAATATTTTGTATGTAGTCAAATATTTTGTATGTAGTCAAATATTTTGTATGTAGTCAAATATTTTGTAGTCAAATATTTTGATATTTCCTTTTTGATCCTTCCTTTTTGGTTTAACTCCTTTTGAGGTAAGCTGGAAAGGCTTTAGCTTCCCCAATATTAGAAAGAAATTGGTTTATATTTTCTTTCAGTGTTTTTATGGGGTTTTTTTCCTTTATATTTAAATATTTCATGTATCTAGAGGTTATCCTCACATATAGTGTGTGGTATTAATTTAACATTCATTTAAAATTTTTTCTTTGTCCTATTGATGTCACTTTTGTTGTAAATTCCTGTCTTTGTTTTAACCTTTTGATCATTTCCTATTGGTCTATCTGTCTGTTCATTAACCAGTAACACACGGCTTTAATTGCTGAGGGTTTACGGTGTTAAGGGTAGAAAATTTTCAAGTGAGCAAACTAGCTAAGTCAGCTACAGGGAAGAAATATCTTTAGATATCAGAAGTTGTCCTACTTGCTTGTGTGTGGTTTAGGAAGTGTATTGTATAAAATATGTAGATGGCCAATGTCTGCTTCTGTAATCCATTTACTTGTTAATTAAGGGTGTTGTTCCGGGCAAAGATATGCTAAAAGCCAACTTCCACTTCTGTAATCTGCTGGCTTGTTCAGGAGACCACCAGGATATGGTCTTGAGCTTTATCAGCTGCCTGCTCTGAAAGCTCGGGGCTGATCTCCTCTAACCCTGAGTGGTAGAGAGTCAGTCACCGGCCGGCTAATAAAGGCTCATAATTAATCTCAATTGGCTCCGTGGGTCTCAGAATCGTTCATGCCATAACAACGGTATGTTTTAATATCTAGTATGACTCATTACCCCTTATGGCTCCTCCTTTTTCAAAGTTATCTTAGATGTTTTTGCTTGTTTATTTTCCCACACAAACTTTAAAATCACCTT